CAAATGGTATTTGAAAGTAAGGAAAAACAAGAGCAACGATTAGATAATATCATTGCAACGATACAAGAAAGACTTAACGAAGCAAGAAAAAAACGAGACGAACAATTAGAAATGGTTTTAGGGACAATTGAAAATGAACTTGCGACTACTCATCAACTCACAACCAAACAAGCGAAGATTTTGTCGGATACCGTCAAGGAAAAACTGGGTAATTTGAAGTACGTACGCGATTTTAGCGAAGATAAGGCGAAAATATTTCTGGAATTGTTAAAGACTAGATTGTCGGAGGTGAAAGAATATGCTGAAGAGGGTTATGAGGCAGCTTATAATAAAGTATCTAGCGGTTATGAAGAAGGTACCGATAAGTTGGGCAAAGGGTTTGATAAGGTGAAAGAACAATTGACACCTCAAAAGAAGGACGAATTGTGAAGTCATTATATTACTTAATTCTCAATATATATATTATTCATCAATTTGGTAAAAACTATTTATCCCAAATTATAAAAAGCTTTATGATTCTTACATGTTAATAAATAGTGATTAAAAACAGTCGCATCGTGTTATTATTGGATATTTTTTGTTTGAAATGCTTAATGTGAATAATCAAATAATAATAATAATAAAATACGTAATTTGAATTTTATAAAAAGTAATCGATTTGTTTATTTATATTTATTGACGAGGTGAATTGTATAATATTTTGAAAATTTTAAATATTTTAAATAATAAAAATAATAAATTATTATGTAAACGATAATTAAAAAAATATATATTTTAAATTAATCGTTATTTGAAAAAATAAAATATATCACTTAAAATTAATATTAATTACTGTATATAAATGTTTTAATTTTATTATTTTAGATTTTTTTAAATGTTTTTTTAAAACAATTTAAAATATCATTTATATTCTTTAATATACAGTACATTGTATATACAGTAATATAATACAAATAAGTATATCTACGGGAAACTATGTACGTGCACGCGCCTTAATGTAATTGTTTCTTTATTTTCTTTATTTAAAATTAAGTTTCTCAAAAAGAACAATGCAAAAATTATACTGTATATACAGTGTAAACAAATAAAGGTTAACGATTTTTTTCAGGTAAATCTTACAACGTGCATAGGTCGTGCATCTCCCTCTAATTAGAGAAATTATAATGAGATTTTGACAATTGACAATTTGTTTATTGTTAAATAAATGTGTGGCGAATCTACATTACTTTCCCATCTATCCCAAAAGTTCTTTATGACTGTTTATTTGGTTAAGAGAATGAATTAAATATTAACGTACGATATTATTAATTAAATCGAGATGGATTATTATACGTGCGATAATCTGTCAAAAGATCGAATGCAATTAATGTAAGGTACTTCACTTCAAGGGTATAATTAAATCCATAATTAGGCAAATTGAACATTATCATTATTATCATGAAACTGTTGCACACTTAATTGCTTGATACAACTTTCCCGCCTCGTGTTGGTTACTCTAGGTTAAGTGAGGCTCAAAATATTATGCTGCGTCTAAGCCTCATCGAAAACGCCAAATTCCCACGCGTTTTGAAAGAGACGTTTCACTGTTTCTTTCTTTATTGCATGTACGCAAGAATTTTAAAGACTTGGTAATGTTTCACATAGGAAGGTACATTTTTAATATCCACAAAGAAAGGAATTTAAGTAAATCATTGCAACAATTAGATAAATTAGATGGAATGTTCCACGTAATAATGTTAAATTTGTTATAAAAGCAACACGAAAGTTCATTAGTTGTCGCAAACTCACTTGCTCTTGAAAAAAAACTCCTTTTTCTACGTAATAAAAAAAAACCACACGCCTTTTTATTTGCACCTTTAACATAATCAATTAAAATGGGTAACGATCACTTGTTACTTCAAAGTAATTTGTTATAATTTCTAGATACTCATCGATTCTCTATTTATTAGGTTTATTTGATACACACAAGGGTCACCATGATGAAGTATATTCAGGTGAACATGAACATAAAGGCCATTTAAGTCACGAAGTAGTGGCTGGTGCTGTAGGTTTCGAAGCCTTCAAGGCGTATGAAAAGAAACGTGAAAAAGAGGGTCACCACGATAAACATGCTCTTGCTAAAGAGGTACACTTTTCACGTCTTAAGTGTCAATTGTTTAATGTTGCATCCTTTTAACATACTAATTCTTTCATCGCCTTTAATTAATAGGTATTGGCAGGTTTGGTTGCTGCTGAAGCTGAAAAGCTATTTGAAACGAAAGGATTAAAACATATTGATGCTGCAAAGGCGAAATTGGATGCCAAGAGACATGCCGAAAAAATGTATGAGGGTAAGTTATCATGTATAACTCATTAGTTCACCCACTTTAAACGCAATCTAATTATACTTATTTACCCACAGAAAAATATGAGTGTTAATTCTCTCGCTTTTTGTTTTTTCTTTTACACACGAGAATTCAAATGTATTTAATATTTGTATAAAATTTAAATAAAATCTGTCAACTTTGAGTGGTAAAAATAAAAATTAATGTAAATTTATCACGTGTTTAAATTTGAAACGTTTTAGAAGTGTAACATGTCTATTTGCTTAGCAAAAATATCGAATGAAAAGTTGCGCAAAACTCGCCATATTCTATTTATGAAAAGATAAGGTCCCTATTAACATAGACCAGTTGTACAAAAAAGGAACTGCCTTGATTGGTTGATAGAATTTTATATTGAACGAACGGAGCTTACAGTTAAACGTTAAGACGTCCTTTTTCCAAGGAACCACAAGATGCCGCCCTCACGATTCCTCATTATCACTTGTATCCTTCTTTTCCTTTTTTCCACGCATATTTCTGCCTTTTACTTACCAGGCGTTGCTCCTCATGACTATGAGGTTGGCGAAAAAGTAGATGTTCATGTCAACTCCCTTACACCGATGATGGGACCAAAAATGCAACTACTTAAATCTATTATTCCGTATGATTATTACTACAAGCCTTTTCACTTTTGTGAGCCCGAGGACAAAAAGGATCAACCCGAATCTTTGGGTAGTATCCTATTTGGAGATCGTATATTCAACTCTCCGTATGAGGTAGTTTTCTTTTTTTTTTCTTTTGTGGATGCGGAAAGGGTCACCATGAAGCGAACAACGAGTTTAAAAAATATGTATTCCCGAATATTTCTAATATGGTATCATTAGTTGTTTATGCTTAAAAACGATTCCTGTCATGTACTTTGCGAGAATCAAAGCAAAATTCCGGGAGAAGATGCCTCATTTATAAACGCTCGCATACGTGAAAATTATGCGATAAATTGGCTTATCGATGGGCTTCCAGCTGCCAGCAAAAGGACGGATTCAAAAACCAATTCTGTTTTCTATAGTATTGGGTTTGAGTTAGGTAATCAAGGGACCATGTCAAATTTGAGCCCTTTATTGCATAATCATTATGCTATCGAAATTCAGTATCACCAGCAAGATGAAAATAAATATCGTGTCGTCGGTGTTCTCGTCCGTCCCTCGAGGTATTTATCAAAGTCTTTTTTTTATTTGGTTTACTTATGTCTTAACTTACCAGTTCACATATTACTTGAACTCTTTCAGTCATAAGTACGAGTCTTTAGATGATGCTAAAAAGTGTCACACGACTGGAACTTTAACTTTAGACGAGAAAACCGACAATGCAGTATGGTATACTTATAAAGTTGACTGGACGGTATGTACTATACCTCTAAATAGAACAAATTTTATATTCAGTCTCGAATTAAGGATTTTTCTTGCATCAGATATCACCAACTGCATGGGCGACACGATGGGATAATTATTTGCACACCTTTGATCCCAGAATTCATTGGTTTAGTTTGGTCAATTCCATTGTCATCGTTCTATTCTTGACGGGTATGGTAGCCATGATTTTACTTCGTGCACTTCACAAGGATATCTCTCGTTATAACCAAATCGAAGCTCAGGTTGGTTCACTCATTTAACGTACATCCTGTGGGTTAAGTGTGAGATACTTGTGTTAACCTAGTATAATGTTTGCAGGAAGATGTCCAGGAAGATTTTGGTTGGAAGTTGGTTCACGGTGATGTTTTCCGTCCTCCTAATAACATTAT